TGGCGCCACTGATCGAATAAGGGATATATATTATATTTATATATATAAGGAAGAGTTTTAAATAATTGTTTAAAGAAACTGAGGTGATCATGGGAAGATAAATAGTTCTTAATTGAATAGATAATGGGTTTGATAATGCGATGAGAAACAAAAAAAATTGAAAAGCAACGTTTAAAGAACGAAATATTTGGAAAAAAAGTTCTGAATCGTCATGATAATCAATGAGATTTTAAATAAGCGACAAGAATTATTGAGTTATTTAATGTCATCTACGATAATTGAAATACAAATTCATATGATCGAAAGTAAAAAAATGATTGCATACATTTAAATTTTTCTATGTCACCTTAATGTCTTCTTTTGCTTCTTGTACGTACAATAAAAATTGATGCCATAAAAAAGAATAACAACTCTGAAGAAAACCAGAAATCAATTGGAGCAGAAACAGATGACAACAATGCGAAAAATCCTCTCAATCTTCATCCATAAAACTCGATAAGATGAAGAATAAAAACAGATTTCTTTCTTCGCTTAAAAATGCTCGGATTTCTTTTTAATAATTACTTCGACGCTAAGTGATTAAGAAAATGAGAGAAGAGGAACAAAAAAACAAGAGAACGGTAACTACATCTTTTTATTTAAACCAGTTTCTGTAGTATAACATGCTATATAATCTGTGTTTGAACATACACAACACATCAACAGAAAAATGACCTTTTATTCTCTGATAAACCGTGCTAGATGTATTGACAGTTTTTTAGTACAAATTTAAAGATTCCACAGTGACGAATTCACTTCACCAGACGTCTATAACGTTGATACATCATTGTAATATATTTCATTTATGTTAATTCAGGTTATTCATCTGATTAATAGTTCTTACATACGGTGATCGATAAAACATGTCTAGCTCTAAAATCTCTTTTACACAAGTACAATAAAATGATGTTTGAACGCTTAGAATTCCGTTAGTCATTTAATAACTGTTCTAATAAATCAAATCAATTTAGTTCGTTTGTTATTTAGTAAGACGAATAAATTTAATATATTTAAATTATTACAGTGCAGGTGAGTAAAAGAGGCCATATTCTTTTTGCTTACCTTTACTAGTGAATGAAGGATTACTGTCTAAATTGAACGTTGTTCTTTATTCTATAATAATAAATTGAATTTTATATGTATACGCTACATAAATCCATCATCCCCGTGTGATTATGTATTAGAGACATCGAAGTAAAGCAAAAAGAAACGGCTATATGAATATATAGGACTATATAGGAAAGATTTTGAATCAGTGTGTAAGCAGAATCAAAATGAAAATCAAACGTATTATCGCTGCGACGCGATAGAGAAAAGAAGGAAAAAATTGGATTTTTGTCTATGTGTGTATTATATGTGTCACTCTACAAAATCACAATCAACTCTAAATAAAACTATGCGCACCCGCAGAGCGGTAATAGCAGTAACAATTCTTTTTTAGTTCATATATGAAAAATTTCTTTATGATTATAATACCGTCATCGAACGAAGCGGTGCATACACACAAATCATTTACGTTTTTTCCTATACAGATTAGATCGCCATATGAATTTTTTCATTCTTCTCCCTTTTCCTACTATACAACATCTTTTTGAAAAAGCTTACCGTATATATATATATATATATATACACAGACTAGAGAGAGAAAGTTTATAAGACGTATATCTCCTTTGGTTTAATCTATGCCAACAGAGATTTGCTTAGCACTTGGCGACTTATAGACGATATAAAAGGGAGAATAGAAGAAGAAGAATTATAAATGAGTTAAACCCAACATCTATTTTTCATCCTGATTTACGATGACGGTAACACCATAATATGAAAAAAAAAAAGAACATTACAGAAAAGAAACGAAAAAAGAAAAAAGGCTTTAATTGAGCTTTTTGAATTGAATCGTAATCTTTTTGACTATAATACATAGAGTGATTGTATATATACACTGATGATATACATTTGGTTCCTACACAAATCGATCGATTTAGTAAGATTTCGACAAGTATCTTTGAAAAGAAGCCATAGTTTTCCTTCTAAATTTACAAACGATAATAGCAAATATTGCTCTACTCTTACACCTTTATGTAAGTGAGATTATGTGTTTCAATGAAAATAACCTTGGACTCCACGAGACCTAGTGAAAATAGCCCATGACTCAAGAATGCATCCAGTACTCACCGAACCGTACAACAAAAAAGGAATTCTTATTATAATAATAATTTGAGATTTATATATGCGTGCAATGTCGACGATAAGCTTAAGCCACAGTGAAACTGGATAAATTTTTTAACTAAAATGATTTATGTGTCTGTGTACATCCTGTAAGAACGAAAAAAAGCGAGAAATTTTCATCAATATAATCAAACAACAACAACAACAATGAAAGCAATGTTTATTTATTCTCTTTGAAGAAAAACGTCAACAAGTTTCTCAAAAAAAATAGCACGATTATAAAGATAAACCTTCTTCATTGTTATTTGGAGAGAAGAAAAAATCCATTTCTTTTGAATTTTATGTCAGATTATATGTACGTGACGCGAAAGGCAAAATAAAAATCGAATATCCATAATCCGCTCGGATTATTTGCTTCGAAGATCAATGGAGAAAAAAATAGGGTTTCAAGTAATACAGCCAACACATTTCTTTCGTTCTACCTATATATCTATTCATTAATATTAAGATTGGATTTTCAGTTCTGAAGAATGGAATAAAAAAAAAAGAGACGTAGTCTATCGAAAAATGCATTAATAGAAAAGAATAATATTACTGGAGAGAGAGAGAAAGAGAGATTAAATAAATACCTTCTTGAATAATTAATCTACCGTCTTAACAACGGACTGATTTATCAAAAAATTTTCCGAATGAATTTGTGTTAACTTCGAAGTCGACAAATAGATGTAGGATTTTTTCTAACCAGGGGATAAACTAGCCCATTAATCGTTATTATAAATTAGATGAACAAAGTCGAATGTAAAGATCGTCATATGAATTTCATTAAAGTGAGCAAAGCGATTGATTGGATGCCTAAAAAAGTATTCTGTTATGTAGACATCGTATTTAAAACGGTGCTCGGTAAATAATGAGGATGATACCTCGATTGATCAACGACCCATTTTCATGAAAAGGTCTCATAGACATCTTTTTTTCAGTTTTACATTTTGATTTCATATATGAAAATCACACAATCAAGTACTTCCCCTCACAGTGTGCATCGAGACCGAAAGTACATTGGGCTGAAAATCGGAAGCGCGCCTTTTCGAGACTGAAATAGAGGAAATATACACTGAGACATGAGTTAACCATTGCCGTAAGTTTTGTTCAGTTAGTATGAGTTGTTATAGGAAAATACTTAGTTGAAAATTAGCGTGGTAACATAGTGCTAAATGATAAGAAACTTTTTATTCTACCCGACCAAGTTCTAAGTAAGAACAATGTGAATTATGACTTTAGACTCCTCTGAAACGTTGGTTTATTGAACGACGTATATGATCGGATCCTGTCATTATAATATATCGCTACTATACCATTATTTGCTCAAATTTTAGCGGGCTCTGGTTACTTAGAGTCAGCACATATGGATAGTTTCTCAGAGACATATCAGTGAAAAAACTTAGATGTGCGAAGTGTAATGAATTTACTAAATTTTAAACTTTAATCAGATCCAAAACCAAAATGTTCGTTTATATTACTTCATCGATATGCAGTTTTCAAAATCACTTAGTTTTCCAGCTAAAATCTGTTTTTTTCCGGCTCAGAAGTGCTTCTAATAAAAATAAGATGATATTCGGAATCAGCGCGCAAAACTGCATTGAATGATGTGGTTCTCAAACATTTTCCGAGATACTTTTTCCCATTTAACAAAGTTCATATGGGAATGAACTTTGTTATGCCTCACACATTTTTTATCAGCAACTAAAAGTTTTCAGAATAAGATTTTTTTGTCAGAGTACTGTGTTTCAGATGTGGAAAGTCATTCTAAGTCAATTTCCGATGATAAACAACTTGTCCGCTTGTGCTAGGAAAACATGCTTTTGTGCCTTCGCCTATCGAATGGAGAAAACCGAGTAAATCTGCATCCATAAAACATAGAAAAAACATCTTATGCTATTATAATCAATGCATCGAACTCTATCAAACAGGATATGGCCATCATAATCATTTAGTGCACGTTAAGAAAAACCCTAATGGTAGCCTGATCTTCTTTTTTGCAGTGTTCAGAGTATGGTTCCTTTTCCTAGCGGAAACAACTCTCTGTCGTTCCACTAGCTTCCTACGTCTATTCAGAAATTGTTAGACATTCGATCCAATATTATTGCCAGTCGTCTGATGTTAAATGACTAGCAAACGTTTGATGTACGTTCCCCACCATACTTCGCCATAAATTCTGATATGTATTTGTGGGTATAACTTGGTCAGTATTCTAATAAAGCAGATTTTTGTGACGAGAGCAGCAGCATCTTGTCTGAATTAATGAATTCTGATTTAGCTCCAAAAGAAAGCTATTAGACATTAAGATTCTATAATATATAAGAATGAACAACGTACTGCTGTTTCATACGTCACTGGAATAGAATAGTCAAATCCCGATATGTTAATGAACAAGATAAAAATCTGCCCGTGAATCATATTGTAATCTCACGAGATTTTTATGAAATTCTCGACAACACTGTGTGCGAAAGAATTTACAGATTTCTGCAGTATATCATTAAATCCCATTTTAGCTATCGCACGATTATAAAGAAATTTTATTAGTAAACATACAAAAATTGTTTTGAACTGTGGACAGGAAGAAAATAGAAAACTTTTCCTATATGGAAAAAAACAGAAAACAATGAATAACAAAAAAATAACCGGATAATCATCTCGCTAAAAAAAAGTCAATAGTAAACACATCGTTGCTCTTTTATCGACATGCTCAAACTATCCAAATTAACTGAAGAATTATTTTTCACTGTAATTATCTTAATTCACGGATTTATTGAACGTCTTTGAAAAAAACCACGAAAAAATTCGATACTGCCTATCATTATACCGCACGCCGGCGCGACTTTTAGTAATCTTGGAACAAAACCTTTATATAAGCCAGCTATTCCGCCGGACTTATGTAATGAATTCAGTATCTTCAATGTTCCCTCCTGTCTGTTTTCACTATACACTTGACCGATTTGAACTTGTCGGTAGGTTTTAACAGTATCGAATGGATGTGTGAGCACGGTCGCTAGTCCACCTAATGAAAATTTAGTCATCTAATAATTTGAACATAAGACGGTGTTTCATGAAACTTACCTGCTGTTGCACCACAATAAAAAGCATTCAATGTATTAAAATATCCACGATAATCGATGATATACACTAAAAAAAAAATTTCACGTTTGCCTTTTAACTTCACTCAATAACATGATTTGTGGATTGAATATTTGAACTATATATACTCATCTGCTCTAGTTTGCTACACAACTTATCAATGAAACATTCTTCTTACGTTTTAGTCTTTCATATGCACTCCAATAGAAGATAGAAAATGGAACATCGCGCCTAAAAGCAAAAGTATACTTAAATATTTATTATAGAACAGATTTGCCACACAAAACTTAAAATGATCGCACATACCAGATAGTGGGTATAAGTCCTCTCCATAATGTTTTTAATCCATGTAATTCAATTGATGATCCAAGTTTTGATATTAAGTCTGAATATGATAATTTTTCTGACATTTTCTTTGTTCGTACTAATTCCAATGGACTAGTAACAATAACAGCAGCTATTCGTGCCATTGCTCCTAGAACAAATCAAAGACAATTGTTATTTTTCTATTTATTTTTATTCACTCTTTATCTTTTTTTTTCTTCTGCATACCTGAAAATGCGGGAATAATAGGATTTTGATTTTTTTTATTGTAACCCAGAGCACATTTTAGTTGCTCGTAAGTTGTAAAATAAATGACTGTATTTGGAAGTGACATTATTAAGGTGGGAGATAAACCACTCCATAGTGATCTAAGACCTTCACTACGAGTTATCTATATGAAAGAAAATCCAATATTTGATTGCATCAAACCTATAGTTTTCTTTAATTCGTTTTTACTTTGACTAAAGCATCGATTGTACTAGAGTATTTTCCGTTGATTTGACGATTGTACCAGGGTACCGGATCTTGTCCATTAAAACATGTACAAACATGATCCATTAGTCTAAATGAATAAAAGATAAGTTTAATTTCAATTATAAGTACATTACTTAAATTGTACCCAGTTCGATAGACAAAACAATCACCCTTTGCAAATGGTTTATTCTCAGATTGCATACGAATACGAACAACATCGAATGGAGTCTAAAAGTAAATAAATAACAAAAACTATTTGCTCAAATCAACGTATACATACCATCAATAATGCTGTACACATGGCTCCTATCGATGTTGACAATATTTGTTGCGTAGGAAACAACATGCATGGATTACTATTATCTGTTCTTACTTCCATTTAATTTAACATACACATCCTGAAAAATTAAATGAAAAAGGTTTACAACAATTTCTTATTTAAAATGACACCTGATTGATAGTTAAAGTCGGCTCTCAGCTCCCGTACATAGTTTTCTATTCATACGTGCACTTTTTATTATTTCATTAATTTTATTTTATTATTTTATCATATTGACAACTTGAATCATTGATTTAAAATAATGACGAGTCGGCTTAAGTCTGTCAGAGGAATGTTGTCTAAGAAAACTATCGGCAGATATTTTACATGATGATACAACGAATTTTTCAATATACTATTGGTGTATTTTGACAGCAGACAAATATTTCATTTGTTTTCCTTTGTAAAACCCAGCATAGATATAACATTAATAACAGGAGAACTTTCTCAAAAATAATTTTTAGTTATAAGAGTACAGTTTAGTCAACTGCTTTTCTGTTAGTATGACCCATCATTTAATCACATAATATTTGCCTAGGACACAGTGTTTATAAAAAATAAAAAATATTCCAAAAAAGCAACAACAACAATTTTTAAATAAAAAACAAACCGAGCTTTAAAATTTTAGAAAAAGAAAGAACCAAAGAACAACATAAATAAGAATAACAAAAAAACAAAATAATCTGCTTTTGAAAGAGAGAAAAATAGAAATGATGACTGATTACTTCATCAATATGGAGGGGGGTAAAGAAAAAAACCGGCAATAATAGCATTTCGAATAGAATGCAAACAAAGATCAACAATCAGAGCGGAGTGGAGCCACTTTATATCTGACAACAGTGCCAATTGGGAATTAACAAACTGAAGCACTTTAGTCAATAGTGGGATTTTGCATGTTGACAGAATTGAAGATACTCTTTTACAAAGACCGCGCAGGAATGAAGAGATTGTTTTTTTTCTCTGAGCAACACAGAAATGAGAGTACTACATATCAGTATAAGATATATCATATTATCCCTTTCTTTCTCTCTCTTTCTTTTTTCATTTCATCACAGTTGAAATTTGGTATGAAGGGAAGAGGAAGAAATGAAGATAAATCTAAGCTTATTAACCAGGAACATACATCTCATTGGCTCCATTTTGTTTTTTATAGCATAAAATAAAGAAAAATATGCACGCGCGAAGTGTGCAGAAAATATAACTGTTAGCGAGAGGAAACATATAAAAAAATGCATATTAATATTAATCCCGGATCTATGATGATAATTTCCACATATTTCTCTACTTGAACGTATATATCAGAAAGAAATGAACCAAATTCAAACATAGAATTTGATTTGTTTATAAATTACGTTACTTGTCCTCGCAATATAAATATAATTAAAGCCCATTTTAAATGGTTACATTCGTTGTAAATAAATATTATTGATTTAGTTAAAGATGATTTTTAAATATCACAGAGTTTTTTGTCCCCATTTGAAATCGTCACTTCTCGGCTTCGATCCACTGTATTTCTCGATGATAACTTCTAATCTTGACCAAAAATTAATCACTTCTAAGGGATAATTTAGCCAACCGGTTGTGACTAGAGAAAAAAAAGAATAAAGTAAATAAGACATAAATAGTAACTAGAGATATTAAATACTCACTGCAAAAATAGGTGTCATGTGGCATAACTAAAATAAAATAATCAGCATTTCAATACTTAATGAATAATGTTCAACAAAATAACATACCATGATGCAGACGATGATGTTTGCGTGGTAGAATAATGTGATATTTTTGTAGAAAAACAATATAAGATGGTAAACCAAAATAAGTATGAGACCATTTGTGAAACTAAAAAGAGAATATTTTATTCAGTAGAATTTGTTATCAATGAAAACGAAAAAAAAAATTTAATTTCAATTTGAAACTTAAACTATTTATCCTATAGAAAGTGTTACATCTTACGATAGCTGCGTGAAAAAACAGACACTTATCAGTTTAGAAAGTGTCCAACGACTCGCAGGCCGTATAATCTCTAGAAATTTCAACTATTGCGACAGTAGCTGAGCTCTTGTGTTAAAATGTGATTTACCGGAGTTAAAAGAAGAGACGCCAACTTTTTCGTTACTAACTAAATTTTATTCTATTCGCAAAAATCTATCTCTTTTGCATGCGTCGTTGTTTATTGTGTCATTCAATTTTACTTATAATATTCGTTTAACGTCTACAGCTACCGTGCAAGTATCTGTCTCGTCCCTTTCGGTTGTTCGCTCATCCTTTTCTGGAACACTTCTAGAGAGTATAACTTGTTACCGAATGACTTAACCTCTACACTAAACCTGAAAAAATTTAAAGATAACTTGACGAATCATCTCCAACTATAATTTTATGCTTTCTTGTTGTTCTCAGTTGTTAGTCTAGTTGCTAGAACTTTTCTGGTTTATTATTAGTTTTTTTTTCTTCCCTTTTCATTTTTGATTTGTTGTTGTTTCTTTATTGTTATTTTATATGTGTATGAATGGTCATACCGTAATGTCTTGTACTAGCTTTTTTGCTATTTATGTATGTTCATGATCTTTGATCGAAATAAAATAAGAATAAGAACAAGCTTAGGATTTAGATTAACTCGCCTCTATTATTTTCATACTACTATCTAAAACACATTACATTTCGATCTCAATTTTCAGTTGACATTTTTCACCACAATAGTAAAAATTTCGTTAAAACACAATGCTTTTTTCTTATGTTGTACATAAACTATTTACTTGATTTGTTAACGACACAAATACTCCCAGTAAAAACATGTATACTTCAAAATTATAAAGTTTCCTAATATCACTTTCAGTCCAATATGTGAATTTATATGCCATGTATAACAAATATGGTACTGTAACAGCAAAAGTATCGCCATTCGTTTCGATAAAATCATGGCGCGTTATAGATGTTGGATCGATATGATGTTCGCGAAATGGACGTAAAAAATTCTAAAACAAAAAAGTTACATTTTGTTCTTTCTATGCAGATAATTTTTGCTATTTATGCTGAAATAGATATCTTACTCTGCCAACTAGTGGAATATCCACCGAGCCCCATGTATCAGCTCCCCAGTGAACAATTCCACTTGCAAAATCAGCTGTCAGTATTCCTAACACTAAAGAAAAAATACAAAACTGATAACAAAAAACAGTTTCAATGATCAAATTTATAAGAACATTTAATTGACAAGAAAAAGACGTAAATTATCTTACATGCTGCTGGGATGATAAGATACCAATTACGAACATCGAAATAATGGCAAATATATGTGAAATTATATATCATCAATACAATACAGAGTATTATGCATATGATTTCTTGGATGCGTTTTTCTACAATCACAACAAATAATGTTTAATAAAATAAAAGATGTAGCATAAAACTATCATGTATCAACATTTTTTCTTACCTGTAGTATATTGACTTGCTAATATTTTGGCTCCTGCATGTTGTGGTCCCCATCGCATTTCTCTTGCATCATGAATTGTATTTCCATTTGGATCATCTTCTGGCATCGAATTTTTTTCAATTGTTTCATCATCACAACAGTTTTCAGATGGCATAATTTGTCTGTGGAATTGAATAAAACTATTTTTAACAAAAAAATAGTTAGTAGAAGAAGTTTATTACTAAATTTTATATACTTACTCTTTAAATATGAAGCAAAAAAAAAGAATTCTACCAGATAGATCACAAATGTTTTTTTATTCGACAAAAACCTTTCGTTCACTAAATATCTAAGAGAAATGAATAAAAAATTGTTGTAAATTTTTATGTATAAAATTCATTTAAAATAAGAGTAAAGTGTCTTTGACCTTCCCAATCTGTCATATTCTTTAAAAATAGAAAAAAAAAATACGAAATATAGAAATCAAACAACAACTGTCAACATGACCATAACGAGCATGTTGTTACAATCACAAAAATATAGATAAAATATATTTTATTGTTCGATGATACTATTGTGTTTTATTTTTCGCAAACTCAAGAATAAATAAAAACGTAATACAAATAGATCACCTGTATTAACATTATTCGTTAGTTATGCGTTTGTTTTACTCTTCCTTTTGTTTAGGTATTTTGTTCCATTTTCAATGACTCTTAAATAGTAATTATCGCGCTATAGTTCAATGTTTTCTACGTTACAAGGAAATAACAGTTATTAGAAAACTAACATCAAACGTTTTCAAAATATATTATGGGAGATCAAAACATATTCTTCCTCTACATATACGGTAACGTCATTATCATTCTGATCTTTCTTTCACTAACATTTTATTTTATTGCTCGCGACCTATACGATTCGGTTCGACATTGAAAATTTTATCATAGGTACGAACAATATATTTGGCAAGATTTCCATCATTGTTTGACCGATAAATGGTTTCTTTCAGAGTTGTAAAATTTATTCTTTCATTATCTACTTTCTAGACTGAGGTTAAATAAAGAAAATGGCATTTTTGTGCAATTAACGTTGCAGATTGTTGTTAAGACTTTTACGAAAAACTTTCATAGCTGTGAAAGGAATCATCTTGCAGTAAAAAAAATGATAGAAATCCTCCTAAGTATGTTGCTTCACTTATGATAAAACATTCAATGTTGATTAAACAGTATAGGTCATGAGTAATAAGATCAAATTTCAGCAACAGAGAGATCAGGATGACAGTATATGGTCGCGGTTAAAGGCCTCGTTTTAAAAAAGTAGAGTAAAGAACAAAAGTCCATCAGTCACCTTTAGTTCTTTTTCTTTTTAAAGTTATTAATATATATTTAGGATATTTAATGAAAAAAAATGAGTTAAATTATGATACTTCCAAGTACCTTTTGTTTAAGGAGGAAATGGCGTATACGGGGATATGACTTCAAAAGTATTGTGAAAAATAAGAAAAAGAGATCATAATTATTATAATTCTTACATTTTCCATTGTGCACTCTCTCGTTTTCACTCTCAATCACATGCTCAGTTTTACTATAACAACAAAAAAGTTTTTAGGTATTTTTTTTCATAAAATAACACTAAAACATGCCATTATTAATTTCTTTTTTGTTCTTCTTCTGCATCTAGGCAAAAAAAAGTAAAATAAATATTTCTGATGATTTTATTTTTTCTTGTAGCTATAAGGATGACGAAAGAGCAAAAAAAGCAAAAGCGGAAGATTTTGATAGCCATATGATTTTACTTTCCTATATAATATAGAGAAGGAAGGCAGTATATTAGTTAATAAATACAGTTAGATTATTTATTTTCAAAAATCTACCGCAGAAGTAATTGACGTTAAGTTTAATCAACAATTAAATTTCATAGCAAAGTAAATTAAAATAACGGATGTTTTTCAATAGAAACTATTCTGAAAAAATAGATGGTGAAATACAGAAAAGGGAGTAGTATGAGATAGAATTTTCATATGAAAAGATATATTCTTTGTAGAAAAGAAAACAAAGATCAATCACCTGTAATCAGAAGCGTTCTTGTTAAAATAAACTTCGACTAATATCTTCATTATTTTCAATAATAAGTAATAACGGAGTAACTTATGAGAAGGCGTTAGACGCAAAACGTAGATGCAGTAAAGAAACCGGTGAAAGTGTAAACAGACTATTTCGAAGCAGGATTAAAAACAACAACTTGTGATTCAAACTGTGTTATGTCAACATGGATATAAATTATAGTGCACCGAGCTTATCATCAAGTCGCCAGTCAATACGTTTAGAAAATGACTTTATCCGAATTGCGGGAGATAAAAAAAAGTGAACGGATTAAAGCATAGCAGTTGTTAGTATGGTAGTCTTGAAAAATGATTTATATTCTTTTTTAATACTTGTTTTGTCTTAAAATCACGCACACTGTAAGTGTATAGCGCATATCACTGTGAAAATTAGATACTCTAGTGTCTGTCGCAGAACTGTAACCGATATAAAAAAATTTATAATTTTAATTGAATTCTTTAGAGCTCTTCATATTGAAAGCAAGCCCGAGGCGCCAGAATACTCTAGTCAGGTGGAGAATGCGTATTTAATGAGATCAGCAAGTGCATAAATCGAGCTAGTCGAGATATAGCTTATTTTCAAAATAGCGAAAGTGTATAGATATTTATCTTTTTATACACCTGGGATCTGTGAATTTTTGAGAGTTCATACTTAGTTTTTTGAGATAAAAGCGCTATCTTCGATCCTTTAAAAGCCGCTACGTTGTCTGATTTGATGCATTACGCTAAACTAGCGACACACAATACGTCGACGACCTAATGGTTATCCCAAAGAAGACGACAACGAACGAATATCTTATTCGTCAATGGACACAAATCGCTAAAAGAAGACCGGTACTGCGAGAATCTCTAATGCGCTATGTTACATAAAAAAACAGAGCAAAGAGAATAATCAATAAAAAGAGTAAATCACTATTAGTTATAAATGAATGGCAACACGTGCTCAAGTTTGACAGAAAAATTTGTCTAGTGTGTTGTCGTCTAATATAAGAGCGAGATCTAAATACTATGTTACGAAAATCGAACGTAATAGCGACGAAGCTATTTCATAGCAGAAACAAATAAAAAACCGTATATCGATGATACCTTTAAGTGTCTAAATCTTGCATCTGCGTTTGCGGACAATGGCGATATATAAAGATAATTTCGTCAAAGACTATCAGTTTTGAAATTTATAATAAAAAAATATGTTATTTTATAGAAGATACTAGTACAATAGAAAAAAGAGTGATGTTCTGACCTGTTGCTGCAGGAACCTTTCTTTTTCTACTCCATCCATTCATTCCTCCTACATAGATACATCAAAGTTATTATTATTTTACTATATTATCATCGTTAAATAAATGTTTGTCTATTGGTTTAAATGAGCAAATCATTACACATCAGCAGTGCCTCAAGATGATAGCGTATTAACAAATATTCTATCATCAGTATTTTTTCTTTTTTTTTAAATTTTCACTATTTGTTGATCGTAGTAACAGAAGGTGAATTAACAATCACTGTACTTGACACGTTGGTACAGTGTATGCTGGTGTCACCGCTATTCGAAGACAATATAACGTTCTTGGATCATTGAAACATGTTTTTTATCGATACGTATATTATACTTGCTTAAATAGCTCAAAACACTAGAAAGAAAGGTTTTTATATGCTTGAACTTATAAACCTTAAGTCCCTGCGGATTCACTGGTCGCTCTTTGGGGAGAATGTACAATATCTTCATCGTTTTATATAATAATTAATTAAGTGTATAAAATGAACACGTAAATGTACAAAACGAAGACTTAAGTCTAGACTTAGTTAAGTCAAGCACTTAACACTTTTTATGAAACATCATCCAGGGTCGCCCCTCTCTCTCCAACTTTAAGGGTCGGTTATAAAATGCTGAGCAAAAAGAAAAAAAAAGGTATCATTGTACTACATTGTAGCTTATCTAAACTTTATAATGCTTAACAAAAATTAAATTTTCAAATATTTTTAAAAATTGGAGCGGGATCACACCCCTCTATTCCCTCGTTCTGGAGGGTCCTAGTCCAGATTCCGACTTTTGTCGGTCTAACGATACACACTACATTAGAATGTTTTGAAGACATACAGGAAAACTTGAAAACACTGAGCGGGTCGCACACTTCTGCGCGCCCTAACTAATATACTACTGCTATTTCAAACAGTTTTCTCTGACATAGCGCAAACGAAATTTGTGGTTTTAAAGACTTTTAGCAAAAGCAAAAGGAAATCTAATTTGCTAGGCTGAATAACTACGTCTAAAATGTTCCTAGGGATTTCTTAGGGGGTTCCCCCGAATGAATAAATGCTGAATTCGACTCATTTGCTCAATTTTAAGCGTAATTTAGCTTTCCCAGGTCCAAGGATTAGGTAACAAGATCTTGGAAGATCTTACAAGATCATATACGATCTTGGGTGATCGTATAATAAGAAATCATGAGATTTCAAAAGATCTTATCAATTCTTATCAACTTCCTATAAGATCTCACAAGATTTCATATGACATCTTGCAGCAAGATTTTACAAGATTTTTCTTATCATAGGAGTGTACAAGATCTTGTATGATCTTATGCAAAGAAGGTATAAGAAATTATACGACCTTATAAGAAGGCACAAGATTTTATACGATCTTACAAGATCATACGCTTGATCATTTCCTGTTGAATCCTCTATACCTCTGCATTTTTCTTTTTCTAATATAATTTCTAACATTTGGCCCTAGGCGGCCACAGGACCGTCTTTTGCTACGTTTCTTAACCATGCACTTCGTATGTGCTCAACTGACGTGTGAAGTTCAAAAGAGAAAAGAGTTTGAAGCTTTCAAAGAGAATGATGTTATATATATCTGTATTACGTTGCAAAATTTATATGGTAGAGATGAGTCATCGATCTTATGAGATCTTGTGAGATCTTATGACAAGAATTCATATGATCTTGTAAGATCTTATATAGTCTTGTGACAAAAAAATATATAAAAGTCAACAATGTCTGGTACAAGATTTTGTAAGATCTTACAAGATCATATGAATTCTTGTCGTAAGGTCTTACAAGACCTTGTCACTTCTCATAAC